AATTGCAACGATGGTATATAACAGCTGTTATTCATTTGCTGCTTTCTTTTGGTAGTAAGAATTGGAATGTGGACCCCAAGCATATTTTAATAAATGATTATTAGGCCACCTACAATGTGTTTTGTCTTTTCTTATAAATTCAATTTCATTGTTTTCACCCATCTGCTCCAATATTTTCATGGATTTCTGCCCAGTAAAGTTGAATAGGCATACATAGCAAAAATCAGATACTATAGAGAAAAGCCAAATTAGTAATTGCCAGCATAACTTATCTTCTACATAGGCTTGATAAAATCTATCTAAATGTTTAGCACATTGAAGAGAGCTCATAGAGATCTGCAAAGCTGAGATTCTACATTAGAATCTAAGAACTCTTAATGAGACCTTAGCAAATTACCTATCTTGTGTCTCATATTTATTTTTGTCTTTCCATTAAAAAGAATATTTTTAGTAGATGTAGAAAGTTGTTTTAATGCAAAGGCAGATAGAATGAGAGTTTAGCAGTTGCTTCCAGAAAACTGATGCCAAAAATGTGAGGTCAGGAAAAATATTACTAGTGATAAGGGACTCAAACATACTATAAAAATAACTAAAAACTTCAACTCATCTAGAGTATAGTCTGGAAATAATACAGATTAGGTGAACTCTTCTAATCAGTGAACACTGACCACAGATAAACTAAATAATAGCCCACAGACTGGCAGACCCTAATGATCTACCAGTGAACACATATTGAGTGTTGGCCATGTATATAAAAACTTATGTCAACACCAATATGGTTCACATTGTCACTTGTGTAAAGTTATGTGTGTGTATGTATATGAGCTAGATACAATTCCCTTCCCTGTCTTGTAGGCTGAGGATCAGAGAAGTTGGTTGAATTATTCAAGGAGATTCCGCAACAGGGTAGAATCAGAATTTGAAATCAATTTTGTCTGGTTCCAATGGAAAAAGGATAGAATCCATTTCAGTTGCATGCTATACCAATGAAAGTAATGCCTGTTAGGTTATGACTTACTATTTCATGTTTGCTACAATGGGAGCTCATGTTTGTACCTCAATCCATTAAACCATAGCTTGAAATTAGAAATTCCAGAACTATTTGTGGAATGAATGAGAGTATGGCATGATCAGTACCTTAAAGTAGGCCGAATGATGTTTCATTACATTAACACAGTAGCAGGGAGGGGAGAAGAGGCTAATACCTATGATCTCAGCTACTCAGAAGATGGAAGTCAGGAGAACTGCAGTTCAAGGCCAACCCAGGCCGAAATGTAAGGCCCTAACTGAAAAATAACTATAACATAAAGGGCTTCTGGTATGACTCAAATGGTAGAAGGCCTCCCTAGAAAGCATACTGCAAGAGGAGGAGGTAATATGCTGGAGAAGAAATATACTCATTACCTTACTCATGTAACTGTAACCCCTCTGTACAGCATCTTTACAATAAAATAAAATTTTAAAAAGAAAGCATACTGCTGTACAGCAAAAATAGATTATTATTGATTTCATATTAAAATTATAATAATAGACACACATGTATACTTAACATGTAAGTTTGTTACAAGCTTCAAACAAATGAGCAACAAATCTTCATTGTACCAAACAATGTCATTTGAGAAAAACGTTAAATACCTCTCAAATAAATACCTGTAGAACAAGGAAGAAAGCACTGATTTTGAACAAACATATTTTTTTTGAAACATTGGCTAATATAACAATCAAGGTGATTTAAATGAACACAGTACCAGCCAAATTTTTTGTTATTGTTGTTGTTTTTCATTTCATAGACTAGGCTTTATTAAGTCAATGATTTTTCTCTTAGGGCCTCCAAGTATACAAACTCATTTAACTTTGCATTATTATCAACAAGCTGTTCATTAGTATTCATAAAATATACTTGAATTTCTGGGTGCTGGTGGCACAAGCCTGTAATCCTAGCTAATCAGGAGGTTGAGTTCTGATGATCATGACAGCTGAAAGCTAGCCTGTGTGGGAAAATCCATGAGACTCTTATCTCCAATTAATCACCAGAAAACCAGAAGTGAAGCTGTGGCTCAGAGTAGAAAACAACTAGCCTTGAGGGAAAAGAGTTCAGGGATAGCAAACAGGCTCTAGTTCAAGCTCCACAACTGGCATAAAAAAAAAGGAGCTGGAATGCTGGATATATGGTCTTAGTAATTTATATTATCAGACGTGCTTAATACTACTACTTTGATCAATTTCATTATTGATGGGCTTTGATCCTATAATTTTGGTTATTATAATTTAATGCCTGGGTATGACTTTAGGAAACATTCCTTGGGACTGCTCAAATAAAAATGATGGAATTCAGATAAGTTTAATTACTTATAAGATGTAATGGCTTTAAATCTTGGTAGACAGCAAAAACCAAAATTGCTGTCAGTAACTACTGAGTGAATGTAAATACTTAGGTATCATTTATCAAAAATGTGCTAATCTCTTCTGTGCAGACTAATTTATTGACAAGTCTGACTAAGGTGGCACATTCTTTGTCATCATCCTAGAAGCAAATAGGCAATACTAATTTCCATCCAATCTTTGTAATGAGGAGCAAAAGTACTCCTCATTAAATGATATCTACATAAGAACCACATTTGTAGTTGGTAATTCTAAAACATCCATTTTATGTAATCTTTTCTGTTGCATCCTCCTAGTCCATGCAATTATTTTGATGACTTCTATAACTATGAAATATTTATTTACAAATATTTGATAAGCTTTCTCTACATATAGAATCAATTAATCTTTCCTAGTGATTCCTATGTTAATTTTCATTATATCAACATACATAAAGATTGGAGAACATAGGTCATATTTTCATAGTTTGCATACTGTGTGCATACATTTTAGAGTACATTTCTTAATTTAGCATAATTTTGCTGCATTTAAATTAGATTCCTCCATTTTACATTCAAATGCATGGTATATTACTATGCATGCTCTAATTATAATTATTTGTGAAATGGTGCAATAAATGTTAGGTAAATGAATTAAATACCTAATATGCCAAAAGACATCAATACATACCTATCTGTAGATAAAACTGCTGTTCCTGAAAAAAAAATCCTTGCCCCTCAGTAAATCTGTTACTTGTAACTTCCACTGTCTCTTTTCATCCTTTCATACAATTTTTCCTTCCTATTACCACCTTTTTAAACTGCCACTGGTTTAAAGTCCTTTCAAGAGAATCAGGTATGAGTAACTTCCTTTTCCTTTACTTTTTATTCTTTTTCAGCTACATCTTCCTTGTCATCATCTCTCCTTTCTTGTGCTTCTGGCTTGCTACCTCTTTACTCCAGAACAGGATTCTGACAATCAGTTGAGATCTCCTTCCTCATCATGCCAGAAACTCCCCACTCTCATTTCCAGGGCATTTCTCAGTCTGTCTCCATTCAACCTTTCCCAGGACTTTCCAAATAAAACTGTCCTCTAACAGTGACAACAACAGAAATTTTTCCCTGAACATTTATCCTTAAGACACTGGCAGTTTGCCAAAAGACATCATTATATAGTTGCTAAATACACTAGGGTATAAATAATAACAGTCGGTATTTTCATCAATTACCTGTTAGCCCTCGCAAATAACAAAGCATGTATTGATATAATTCCAGTTTATATATGAAGAAATCCAGGTAAGAAAAAATAAAATACCTATCAGACATCCTGTGTAACCAGGACTTGAAGTTTAGGCCTATCCTTTTAGTAGTTTCAATGTATTTCCCAATGGGCTATTAACAATCTACACAAAGCCTATTGCCTTTCCTGCTGACATATATACTGCTGAAATTGTTCCCTTGTACTTGTATGTTTTCAGTAAAATAGCATCCATCATTCAAAGTCTACCTTGACCATTATGTCCAGGGACTACTTCACTTTCTTCATGAAACCTTAGGCTTGTTTCATACATTTTATTGGCTTCCTCTTTCATAGTTCTACATAGCAGATCATCTGTATCATATCTATTAAACAATTTACTCTTTGCTGGATCAGATTTAGTCTCTCCAACAAAACTGAAAACTTCTCAAAGGTAGGGATTATTTCTTGAGCTTCTTCCAGATTCTTCCATGAGACTAAATGGCTTTCTTTCATAACCACCACCAACAAGTATATTCTAGGCCCTGAGATATGCACTGTATTTATCCATTCCACTTAATCGTCACTGAAACTGTAGTATAGTAGGTAAATGGCATTGTCCTATAGTATAGCTAAGGTAATTTATACATGAGGAGATAAAAGAGGAGAAGAAGGTCCAAACTAAATGGAATAGTTAATACTGATGTTCACAGTTGTTGCTGTTGTTCAGATTTTGAGACTCAGCCTCAGCGCCCAAGCTGGCCTAGAACTCATCATCCTCCTGCCTATCTCTGCTAAATACTGAGATAAGAGGAATGTGACATATTGCCTAACTCTTCCTTTCTCATTTTGACACCAAACCAAACAAAAAACCTACCTATAATATACAGTCATTCCTGCTAATTAAGAAAACAACTTACTCTGTACTAATGTGGCTGTAGCAACACTTTGTACTTAGGCTCACAACTGAACAAGATGTGCTGCTGTTTTGATCACCTTGTAATACATCTGTCAGTGCCTATAATGACTTCCAGTGCTCAGTCCCCCAAGGAAGACTGTACTGCACTGTCAAGAGATATGTGCCGACAAAGTGAAAGTAGGGTTTGTGCCTTGTCTCCCATAGTGGTTTTACACTGCATCTATTTCTCTTCAATCTCACCAGTGTTTCGTGGAGAGCGAAATGTGACAGTAAAATATATAAAAGGATTATTTTAATGATGTAACAATTTGACTGGACCATCAAAAACCCTTTGTATACAGTGATAAAAATATAAAAAGAATTATGAGAGAAATTTAAAGATAATTATGAATTGTCTATCAATAACACAAGTAGTATATGATCCCAAATAAATGAGATTATTTTGCCTTTTCTGTTCCTTAAAAAATCATAAATACTTTCATACCTTTGTTCATATCGATGAGCTGTTTCTTTTTCTTCTGGCGCTCTACCTTTTCTTGTTCTGCTTTCTCTTTTGCAAGCTTGGCTCTCCTACTCTTCTCCTCCATTTCTTTTCTCTTATTGTTTTCTTTCATGGCTTCCTGCAGGTAATTAAAATTAAACAAAAGCAAGCTCATTACTTATAGAATGGAGAAGTTGTTCTGTTTTAAAACTAATTAAATATTCAGACATGGAGAATGATCAAAGTGGCCACAAAGTGCATGTATACATTTTGTAAAGAGATTGATAATTAATCTTAAAACCTCTCCAGGAAAAGACAGACTGTCTGCAACTATCGTTACTTCTATCAGAAAATTAGGGACAATAATGTTACAGATTTAACAATAAAATTATTTTTTCCATTGTTGAATCTTGAAAGTTTTCATATGTAAGAAAACACTTAAGACCGACTTAGTATTTTTTCTGTTATATGCACAATGGCAATTTACAAAAAAAAAACATTACTTCATAGCCTATTTGTGAAGAGAAATGAGTTACATATTTAAAGTGCTTAGAACAGAGTCTAATATATTCTAATCAAGTACTTTCAGTCTGAGATGATGGTTGTAGCATTGTGGTACTGGTGGTAATGATTACATCTAATGATGCAGGACATGAGACAATCAACAGTATCATCACAGAAAAGAAATAGCAGCAAGTTTGTGACTTTTTCTGGGCCTAAGTTTTCAGAAATGCTAAAGCAGATTTCAAGCTATTGTCTGTTTTATTTGGGTAAAATTATTTGAAGAATTCTAGTAAATGAGTAAATCTCAGTAGACTGTATTAAAAGAAAGTTGAAATGATCCTTTGGAATAATATGAGCTTCCCTTCAGTTAAGACAAGTCACTAATATAGACACAATCAAACATAAGTTCCTTCCATTACATTGCTCTGGATTTTTTTTCCTTTATGATTATCAATAATGTAGTCTTCACCTAATATACAAACTATTTCCCTAAAACTACTTTGTTCCAGAAACTGTAGAAGAAAATAAAATCATTAACAAGAATATACCCAAAAGTTTTTGCCTGAAGGGAATATACTTTTTTCATCATATAAAAAAACACAGTTTTGAAAATTGCCCTACAAACATTGCCAAAAAAACCTCCTGACTTGCAAACTGTGAATATTTTTATATTCATTCATTGGTACCTCCTCTTTCTATTACGTCAACCATAGGCTAAGAACTCACAACTACCTGACTACTGTAGACAAGCTTAAAAGACCACCACAAAGACCACCACTTAAAATTAAGTGGAACACTAGAGCCATAATTTTGGAGCAGTTTCTGAACCTCAGCACTATTGTCATCCTGGGCCAGATCATTCTTTATTATGGTTCTTTCCTATGCACTATTGGATGTTTGGCAGCATCTCTGACCTCTTCCCATTAGATACTAGTAGTATCTCTCCTAGTGTAACAACCAGAAAGTATTCTAGAGATTGTTAAATGTCACCTGGAGAGCAAAACTGCTTTAGATTAAGAACTACTAAATTTAACAGTTTCAGAGAGATAAATGATACTCAAAAATTACAAAGTACCCACACTGACGAATCATGTTTCCTTGTACAGAGTGAAAACTGAGTTTTAAATGAGTTTAAGTAATTTGTCTAATGAACAAAAAAAGGAATGACACACTGGTACATAGTAAAACATGATGAAACCTTAAAACATACTAAGTGAAAGATGCCATATAGAAATGGTTAAATACAAGATGGTAACATTTATGTGTAATGTCCAGCTTAGATAAATCTATCTCTAAAAGTAGGTGAGGGGCTGTGAGTGGAAGGGGGAAGCATAAAGAATAATGTTAATAAACATAGGCATTAGCACTAATGTCTGAAACTCCTGTTCTCAAGAGGCTGAGAGAGGAGTTGACATAAGTTTTTAGAGATATTTCTGGGCCATGTAGAAAACTCTATCTTAAAAACAACAATACCAAAAAGGTAAATTTTATGATACATAAATTATAGGTCAATAAAAACAAACCTTCAAAACTTAGATTTCAACTCAGGGATACTAAGAACCCCTAATATCTTTAAAAAAATTAGATTATTTTATTTAGATTAGTTTTTAGATTATTTATTGTACATAGGGGTTTCAATTCAACAGCAGTTCATAAATTATAATGAGTCTTGACCAATGTCACCCTTTGCCTAAGATGAGAGGAAAAGAAGAGTGGAAGAAAAAAGGGGGATTTTAGCCTATGTATGACATTGGTAGAATTTTTGATGCACTCAACAATAAACAAGACCTTGGTGGATTTTCCTACTATCAAATAAAAGATTTAGTAGCTTGTATTTATTTTTCTTCCAGTGACAGAATTTAACATATATTTGATCTTCTCAGTTTCCAGGCATGCAATTTCCTAAATCCTTGGAATATTCAAACTGATAGTCCTTTTGTATGCTAATGAGCTGTCAAGTGCTGGCCAGGCACTAAATGTACAGTTTAAGACAAACAAAAACAGGATTAAAGAGTTGGAACTTTCAATTTCCACTCTCAATCTCCAGGGACAGGTAAAGAGCTGAAGGATAAATTGATCATCAATGGCCAGTGGTTGAGTCGATCATAAAATGCATTCATAAAACTCCAAAAGGACAGGCTGCAAGCTCCTGGACATGTTGGGGCTTGCAGACCATAATCCTATGCAGGCAGGGAGATATCATCCAACTCTCTAGGGACGAAAACTCCTGCCTTTGAACCACTCAAAATCTCATCCTTCATCAAGCTGCTTATTTGTGTCTTTCAAAGTGTCATTTACAGCAAATCGGTGAACATATTTCCCAGAGTAATTTTAGCCAAGCTAGAAAATAATAGAACCTAATTAATATAACAGAACCTAACTAATCAAGCCTAATTAGTAGAACAGTCCATCTACAAAGGTAAAAACCGAAGAACTTGGGTCCAGCATCTGAACAAGGACAAGGCCATATTGGGGACTGAGTGCTCAATCTTGCAGATCTGATACTAATTCCACGTGGATAGTATCCTTCCAGGACACACAACTAGGGTCTCCTGCTCTAGAATCCCCTATAAGCAGGAAGAAATCATTATACCTGATAGGAATCTGCTTTGTTCTCATAACTCCCTGTTGCTCCCTCTCAGCCCAATCTTTTTATGTATCTAAAGTTGGAATGTGAAGGATTGACTCTTGCCTTATTTCCCGAGCTCAAGCACAACACCAGGCTCCCACTAACCTGCTTGTCTGCAGGCAAGTTATTCTGACCTTGGCTTAACTGAAAGCCCCCCAGGCAGAACATTCTACTCTAGGCCTGGCCAAGAACATTGCCTTTGGACCCCAAATGGGCTCATAGCCAATTTTTATGTTCTGCTTCCTTGTTAAGCTCCATATAAACCCAGTTACAAATCTAGTTCCTGGCAAAACATTCATTCCCATAGGAAGGTCTTGCACCTCTCTGGCAATAAAGAGTCCTAGCTTGTTGATGATGGAGTCCAGTCTATTCCTTTTCCATTCTCCTTCATTTTCCTAACAATACCTCTTTAGGTCACAAAAATCTTCAGTCTTGATTATTGTGGGGTGAGAGTAGAAAAAAACAACAACAACCATATAGTTTTACTACACATGTCCTTGTATTGATATCAATTTTTCTTCCATGATATTTTAAATACATACTATCTCATCTTTATTTAAGAAAAAGGGAGAAGACCCCCACAGTATAACCCCTGCTTTCACTGTATTTGATGTCGGTATAATTTGTGGAGGGGAAGGGGAAAAACAAGTCGTTTAAATAAGGATACAGGTAGACCCGTTGCAACAATGAGTAGTACAAGTTGTCATGTCGAAAACGAACTTTACAACTTTGGGGGGGGATTGGGTGGGGGGGAGTGGTGGAGGCTGGAAAGGGATGTGAAGGGTAAACAAAGGAGGAGGCTACAATGCTTGATAAGAAATGTACTCATTATCTTGCCCATGTAATTGTAACCCCTCTGTACAGTATGTTCACAATAAGAAATAAAAGAAAAAAGAAAAAGGGAGAAGTAAGCTGCCAAGTAGACAATATTTAATTTTATTTTATAGATAATGAAATTCAGGTTCATGTAGGTTATGTGATATGCCCAAACCTACATCCTTAAGTACTAGAACAAACTAGAGTTGCTGCCATCCACATCAATGTTCACTTGCATTTCTATTATACCAGGTAAACTATGTGATGCTCCATTAATTTATTTTTTTTTGGTCAGTCATGGGGCCTGAACTCTGAGCCTGGGCCCTATCCATGAAATTTGAATTTCAGATAAACTGTGAATAATTCTATTAGTATAAGTATGCCCTATACGATATTTGGGGATATACATATTTTTAAAAATCATATAACTTACATATAATGATAATAATATTACTATTTATCTAACATTCAACATTAAATGGGCATCTCAAATTGCTATTCCAATAATCTGGCAATCTTTAAGATTGTATTATTAATCTTCTCTAAGTATCTTGATAGAATAAGACATATAATGAAGACAAGACATATGATTATCTAAAAATACAAGTCTCAATCTAATTCATGTTTTCTCTCTCTTTCCTTTTTTATTTTTGTCGGTCGTGGGGGGTGAACTCTGGGCTTGATCACTGTCCCTCAGCTCTTCAGCTCAAGTCTAGTGCCCTACCACTTGAGCCACAGCACCACTTCCGGCTGTTTTCTGCTTATGTGGTGCTAAGGAATTGAACACAGGGCCTCATGCATGCAAGGCAAGCCCTCTACCACTGAGCCAACTTCCCAGCCCCTCTAATTCATGTTTTAAGAATGGAATTGTTGATATCAGTTATTGGTAGATATTATGCTGTCTATGGACTTGAACCATAATATTTTTAATAAAATTTTTAAAATCAAATTTATGTAAAATCAAAACTGATACCATTGGAGCTAGAAGAAAATAAGGCAACAGCTAACATGAAAGGATCTCTAATGGAGAAATTTGGCAAGTATAAATAGAATAAATTTCTGCTTGAAAAGGAAGCTTCCATGGAGCACTGCTGAAACAACATAAATGAGGACCTAACACAGAATGAAAGAGTCCAAATAATAGGTTCAACAGTTTCTACCTTCAGTGATCAGGAATAGAATTAACTGCA